TGTCAGGTGAAACCTCAGGGTTGTTTTGATCAGCATTTGGGGGGGGGAGGGTTGGGTAATGGAGTTATGTGACTTGCCCAGGTCACACAGCTAGTAAGTGTTATGTGTCTGAGGCTGAATTTGAACTCAGGTCCTCCTGAATCCAGGGCCGGTGCTCTATCCACTGCACCACCTAGCTGCCCCTGATTTGCATTTTTCTTAATAGTGATTTGTGGTATTCTTCCATACAACTGTTAATAGTTAGCAATTTTTCTTGTGAGAACTTTTGGTTCGTGTCCTTTAGTCATTTACCTAATGAAGAATGGTTTTTTGTATCTGTTAACTGTCTATATAACTTAGATACCAAGTTCTTCCATGAGAAATTTGATGCAAATATTTTTCCCATTCATCTGCTTCCCTTCTTATCCTAGAAGCACTGGTGTTGTTTTTGAAGAAACTTCAATTTCGTTTAATCAAAATTATCTTTTATCTTTTGCAAATGACTCTCCCATGTTTGATTCAGGAGATATCTCCTATCCATAGCTATGAAAAGACTTACTCTTAAAGGGAATGTTTCACATATAGTATGCATACTTTCTGTGTAGAGATTGTGCTTTCCTTAGCATAGGTGGTATGTCTTGTTTTTACAGGATGGAAAATAAATTAAAAGCCTACCTATGTGTGAGTGGGTGTACATGCTAGAATTCAGTTAAGGTAAACCTTAAAGCAAGATGAAATATTATCAACCAGCAGGCACCATTAGCAGGAAATGGGACTGATTTTTATTCAACATTCTTGCTTTTTTGCAGTAAAATGACTGTAGTTACAGTTAAATTGTGCTCAATAGGTGCACCTATGCATGTGATGAGAAAGGGGACATTGCATGGCTTCCAGAGTTTGACCTCCTCCCCATCATTAAGGCTATGGATAGATGTCTTGTACCTGAAATTATCAGTTTGCAGTGCTTCAGCATATGCTGGTACCTTTTTCTCATCTAACAACTAGTCTCCATGTTTAGGAGTTAAATGGGAATGCCTCAGAAAGAATGAAACTTTAAATTGTATGTTTCAGCCTTGGTCTGCATCCATCTACATGAAGGAAGAAGGTATTTGACATTCTTGAGAATCAACTCAAATACTTAAATCTGATTTTGAACTTGAACATAGACTTCATTCTTTTCTTTCAGTGTGAAAACAGGAGCTTTCCATGTCTTTGTGAAATGGTATATCTGCAATTTTATTTTCAGTATTTATAGGCATCTCTACTTATCAGCTAAGCAGTTAGTCTTTTGGCTCAACACATAACTAAGCTATCTGGTATCCAGTTTTGATTTGTCATGCTCCCATGTTATTTTAGTCTTTACCTTCTACTCTGCTGAGCAGGTTTGTTGTTCTCTTAAACTGTTTGTTCTTTTGGAGAGTATGTCAAGACAATTATAAAACCATTAATGTCGTTTCCCTGTTTGACAGATGAGAAACGTGGAGCCTAGGGAGGAGAAATGGCGGAACTAGTCATTGTAAATAGTACCTACCTCCCTGGGTTGTTGTAAGGATAAAGTGATATAATGTTTGTAAAGCACTTTGCAAACCTTGAAGTACCATATAAATTATTATTGTTTTTATTTTTATTACCATTGTTGGAAATACTGGGCCAATAGCAAGTCTCTTGAGACTTAGTAAAACATTTTCACCTGTAAGTGACCATTTGTTTCTTTTTTCCTTTAATAAATTCTTACTGAGTTCTTTAAAGTCAAATTCTGGAAATAGATCTGGAAAATAAGTTAATAGGAACTTGTAGCTGTGATTTGAGGGACCTGCCATACAAATGACTTATTTGTGGTTTAATTCACCTATCACTCTTGTCTCTATAGGCATAACCCTCTTCAGAAGTTGGGATGTAATTCAAAACCTTATACCAGTCTTTCTAAATTTATTGTACAGTATTCTCTCCCTTGCCAACCACCATTGCCATAGTCCAGCCAAATTTGCCTCCCCTTTGTGCCTCTCATATACTCCATCTCCTGAGTGTATGTCTTTGCCCTGGTCATTCCCCATGTCTGGAATGCACTGCCTGCTCAGTGAAGCCTCATAAAATCCTTTTCCATTAAGATGCAGCTCAGGCAACCCTTCTTGCCTGGTAGTGCCTTCGACTATAGGGATTGTTTCATTCTTTGTATTATGTCCCTTGTGCCTGGCACATAGTAGGGCTTGTTAACTGGTTGATTCTTTTTTAAATTTGCAGTTGTCTGGCTTTCACTTAGGACTGGCTCAGCATCAAGAATACCACCTAAGCAGTTGTTTTCCCATCTACCTTCTCTGCTGATGAATATTCTGATTGGAACATCTTGTATTCAGACCAAATATATGCAAAAGGCAAAATTAAGAGAAATTAAAACAGCATTTCTCTTATCCCTGAGATAGGCATATTTAGAGTATACATTGATATTCTGACTACAGATGGTTATTTAACTAGTGACCCAGAAGAAAATACTTTTGACTCTATAGCTTCATTTATTTTTTTTTAATTTCTTCATGCATATTACTTTTCTTTGAAAATGCCATAATCCTTTTTTCTTAATTTCAAATTAGAGACCTGAGGGTTAAGTTCATACTATAGAAATATCATTTGAGATTCTTGGATTTGAGGTGTCAATGCCCTTCCTCATTTGCCTTAAATTATATATTTACATGATTGCACATGTATAACCTATATCAAATTGTTCACCTTCTTAGGGAGAGAGGAGGTAAGAAAGGGAAGGAGAAAATTTGGAACTCAAAATTTTGAAAATTTGTGTGTTAAAAATTGTCTTTACATATAAGTGGGAAAATAAAATATTATTTTTTTAAAATGATATAGTTCTTCACCTGGTTATCTTTAGTCTGTGTATAATCATTTCCCCAAAGTCCTTTTTCTAAATTCTTATTTAATTCTATGTAAAGTTCAGATTGTTGCTTTGTAATACACTTGGGTTTTTTGTTTTCTAAGTTCATGGGTTTGATAAGAAGTCTACTTCAGAGTGATTTTTATTTTGGTTGTAGCTGGAAAAGAAGAAAAATTGCCAACTAACCAGAACATAAGGTGGCTGAAATGCTTTTAGGAAAAACTTGATGAAAGGGTTGCTGTAGTAATAGGAAGTTAACAGAATTGTTTTTGATTTTTAAAAATGACTTCATTTTAAGTGAGTTTGAATGATAATTTTTTTAGTCAGTAGCATTTAGTGAATGTCCACTGTCTACTAAGCATGACATAAGAGTCTCTTAAAAATGAAATACAAGGCACAAACCCTGCCTCTATGGAGCTTATCATCTAATGGAAGAATTAAAGCAAATAAATGAAAGGAATGTATACATATGTTCATAGTGACTGCAACTCTCACTGGATGATCTTTAATAAAGCCTTGAATGATGCTAAATCTTTACATTTGGCTTTAAAAAAAAAAACCTTATCCTCTCCATCCTTACACTGGGTTTAAATTAAGAGCATGGAGGAGATGGTGAGTTCAAGGGATTTGGGCAAGAAGGATTTTCTCCCAGGACTCTCAGCATGGATATACACAGATCAATTTCTCATCCTGTGTTCAGCTGGACACTAGGTTATAAACTGTGTTGATTGAGACATCCCCTCCTGTTTCATATCATATAACTCATTCATTTCAGCCACTGAGCCTAAATTACTGTTTGCTTTTCTTTCTTTCTCTGTGTTTTTTTTTTTTTAATGATAAGAACTTATATGGGGATGAAGTTAGTTTATCCGTGCTAGTGCTTTGATTTTTCTTTTCTCTTTCTCTTTGCCACAGTGGGTAACCAGTTAGGGGCCCTGGTACATCAAAGGTAAGCAGTGGGTTATGTTTTATTATTTATTGATTAATTCTAATTGTTTATTGATCCACCATCTGTACTGGAGTGTTAGAAAGTCAGAGGTTGAGAATGTGGAAAAACTATAGGCTAGATTTCTTTAAGGCTGAAGTTTTGGGGTTTTTGTGATTTTTGTGTTTTTCTTCAATAACCTTTTCTAAGAAAATTTCCTAAAGGGATAAATTTAATGTTTTTGAGTGTTAAAAACTTAAATATTATTATGCAAAATTATAGGACTGTCAGAATATTGGAGATTTTCTTTATCTTGATTTTACATTGAATAAAAAAGAAATATCAAATTTTTCTAGTGCTTTAGAAATCTTTAGCCTTTTCACCTTAGAAAAGTTCTCCTGGAATAAGTGATACAAGGTGATGCTTATGGTAGACAGGCAAGCTCAGGGTCTATTACATGGAAGTAGGAGGCTAGAAACCCATATTCTACTGGTAGGGACACACCAAGTGACCTTCAGTAAATAGTCACTTAACTCTTCTCTGCTGAAGTCTCATTAATAAAAAATACCTTCTGCATGCCTCCCTAAAAAAATGAGGCTTAATGAAATCATTGTAAGGTGCTTTTAATGCCTGAAAAAGAAATTCTGTCAAACAGAAATGTGTACAATGTATAAGAATGATACTAATACTAAAATAGAGATTTAAAATACATATGCAGGATTCCATTATAAAGTACCTTACTATGCCAAGGGTTCACTTATATTGTGTCAGGTTATATGACACAGAATTCAGCGATCTTACCATAATCTGAAAAGCCAAAAATGTGTCTGTTATTTTTGTCTTATAACACCAACATTTTAGTTATGTTCTACGGTATTATAAAGAAATGTTATGGGGCAGCTAGGTGGCACAGGATATAGCACCAGCCCAGGAGTCAGGAGTACCTGAGTTCAAATTTGACCTCTGACACTTACTAGCTGTGTGACGCTGGGCAAATCACTTAACCCCAATTGCCTTTAAAAGAAAAAAAAAAAGGTGTTAGAAAGGCTTGGGGGTAGGGCAGGTAGGTGGCACAGTGGATAGAATGCTGGGCCTGAAGTCTGGAATACTTATCTTCCTGAGTTCAAATCTGGCCTCATACACTTACTAGTTGTGTGACCCTGGACAAGTCACTTAACCCAGTTAGCTTCAGTTCCTCATCTGTAAAATGATCTGGAGAAGGAAATGGCATACCACTCCAGTATCTCTGCCAAGAAAATCCTAAATGGGGTCACACAGTCAGACAGGACTGAAACACTGAAGAACAACAACAAAAGAAGGGCCTTTCAAATTATTAACTACCACTGATGAACAGACTATTTCAAGAAAGTTTCATTCTGACCAGGTTTAAAAATATTTAATTGAACAAACCATTAACAATTAACAATTGAGATTTTTGTTTGAAATGAAAAAGACCAACTTCTCTATAGCATTTTGATCAGTCAAAACTATACTGGTAAAAAATGTTTACAATTATTTCCAAACTATTTATTCTGCACATTGACCCAATATTTTTGTTGTGACCTTATATTTTTATTCTCCAAAGAAGCTCAGAGCCAAAATTATACAAGGAGGTTGCTGGATAAGGCATGTGAATTTTCCTGTTGATTTAACTTTGGATTTTTTTCCTAGGTAAAACCCCAGTAATACTCACAGCAAATTGACTTGTGCCACATAAACACTTGCTTTTGCTGTAGCCTCCTGACTTTAGTAGGAATACATGTTTGTAGTTAGCATTATCTTCCCTATTGGGACAAAGCCTAATATGAAAGAAAACAATATCTTTGAATGTGTTCATGAAACTCAGTCTTAGCATCAATATTTCAAAAATAATTGGGAGGCCCAGAATTGCTTATTTTCAGATAGTATATGTAAATGCCAGAAATTACTTCTGCATCTACAAACCTAAGGATGTATGTTACAACAGAAGAGTCTCTCCCTGTGCTTTTATCACAGCTGCATAATGGGAAGAGCTTTTAACTATTGCATTTTTCCTAAGCATAGGACTTTTCACAAAAACATGTACTTTATTCAGTTCTTTCCATGGTGGTTAAAAATCCAGGGGGGGGGTGTGTGTGTGTGTGTGTGTGTGTGTGTGTGTGTGTGTGTGTGTGTGTGTGTGTGTGTGTGTGTGTGTGTGTGTGGTGTTTAAAAATGCCAGGGTTTTTTTTGGGAGGGGGTTCCCTAACTATCTGTATTATCTTCTTCAAAGGTAGATGTTTAGATTTAATTGCTTTCCAGGGTATTGCACGAATTGGATATTGTCTATAAGATGGTGTATGGGAAGTTAGGAAGTATTCCTGTTGCTTCATTTGAATGAATCAATGCAGTACTTGTCTTCAAAAGGACAAGGGGCGGGGGACATCTAAGACTCGATTGTGTGCTTTTTAACAGGAGTACTTGGAAAATGACCAGAGTAATTATTCCTTTCTACTCAACACTGATTAGAACTCCATTGGAAAACTATATTCAGTTTAGGGCCTCATACTTTAAAAAACCGAGGTAATTTGAAAGGAGGCCAAAGAGAAGTAAAAAGTTTGAAAACCAAGGCATATGTAGAAAAGTAGAATGATGTTTATTGGATCTGGAGAAAAGAATGCCAGAGGAGAAGTGCAAAGGTCACCCAGTACATAAAAGAATGTTATTAAGTAATCACAGACTAGTTACTCTTATTAGTCAAAGTGGGCAAAACAAAACATTTAAGAGTTAGACAGCAACAGGAAATGTTCAGATTAAATATGGGAGAAAAAAAAAACCCTAGCAATTAAAAGAGGTTTGGTAATTGAATAAGTTGCTAAAGTAGTCACCTATAATGGTAAGAACAGCAACTCACTCTGGGTACTTTTTTTCAATTCAAGTGATAGGGGGACAAGGTGCTTTATCTGAGTGACTTCGTATAATTTTAGGTCCATTGTCTAAACTTATGTTTAAAACTCTAGGCTTATGATGTTATCAGTTTAGGAGGAGATTGAGAATGAAAGATAGTCCAGAATTATTTTATTGACTTTGAAATGTTACTGACTTTTATTTATTTTATTGACTTTGAAATATTATTCATTTTTAGGGCAGTAATAACAGAAGAATTCAAAGTGCCTGATAAAATGGTTGGGTTCAGTAAGTATCTGGATTGCCCAATTTCCTAAGCATTTAATCATCCTTTTTACCTTATTCATTAAGAAATAAATGTTTACTTTATTAAGAGGCATGTTACCTCTTCTGAAACTAAACTGGTAACTTAAACAACAGTTACTTCGTGCTATAAGACAGTGCAGCTCTTTTATCCGACTGCTGGATGACTAGAACCAAACACCGTTAGAAATTTTTATGGCTGAAGTGGCTTGAATGAGTATCCCAAAACAGTATAATTTAGAAACAAAACTACCTGTCTCTTAAACAGTAGATTTATAGAATGTTAGAGTAGCAAAGGGACCTTAGTAATCAAGTCCTCTCCCATCCCTATTTTACTGTGAGCCCAAGTGGAAACTAAAAAGTAGATGCTGATTACTGTGGAAAGTCAGTTATGGGTGGCAAGTTCTGACCCTGTTCCACCTTGTTTCAGTTATCGGCCGGGGTGGTGAGCAGATTTCACGGATTCAGGCAGAATCTGGTTGCAAGATTCAGATTGCACCAGGTAAGAGCTTTTCTTTCTTATGACCCAATACATGCATGTTTTAAACTTAAGTCCATTTATCATCTTAGCTTGTTGCATAGAATTTATAGGATCTTGATCAAAACCTTTCCCTGAAACTAAGAGAGATAAATTTATTCCCAAATAGAAAACAAAGGCAATATTTATCATTGTCCTGGTTTTGCAAGTAGAATGGAAGATGGGGATCTAGTGGGGGCAAATCTCATTTGGCTTTACTTCTAGACTGGTAACACAAAATAGACCTGTGGCATTTTTATGCAACAGTAGCTCATCAGGACCTCCAGGATCTCTATTAGAGTATATTGCCTGACTCTACAGGTAATAAGACAAATCATGTGGTCCTTTGGGTTAGTGGTGATTGCAAAGGTCCTGAGTTACAGAACTGTGAAGATCACTGGTCTTGACCACCAATTTTCATTATTCTTAATGGCTAGTATTCTGGTTTCATCCATATTGGCCCATGTCAAACAGATTTCAGGAATATCTCCTAACAGTGTTTTGCTGTGGATAGACTCTTGGTAGTATGCCACATGTTCCTTATTTGTACCTCTCTGTTGAGGTTTATCACATCCTGCCTGATGTCACACTTATTTGTATGCTTGCTTATCCCCCTACTATGCCTTAAGCTCCTTAAAAGTCATGTAAGCCTTGTGCTACTTAGCTTTTCATTTTACTCATTGCCTAGTATTGGGGTAGAGAAGAAGGCAGATCCTAAAAGATGTGTTTTTTCTTTAGAGTATAGTTTGGGTTTAGATCTGATTAATATAGTAGGTGACGAGAAGTAGGGATAGATATTTTAATAGAGTAAATGTCTGTTAATGAAGCAAAATCTTATAATATTTTAAGATAATTTGTTAGCTAAAACCTTAGGTATAAATCATGCTGTATAGAATACTCTTTTAATTATTATACTAGAGGAAGACTTCAATTTAATTGTACTACATATGCATTCAAAGTATACGTAAGCGTATCAGTGTACTTAATTACTTAATGAAACACAATAAGGCATACGTAATATGTTGGTTGTCAAAAGACTAAATATTTATTATATGGTGTCCTAGAGATGGTCCCTTGTATTGATGATTTGTCAGATATTTATGCAATTAATATTGGTGACAACTGCTGTGCATCTCATTGGCCTTTTCATCAAGGATCTCAAAGCTCTTTGCAAACAAATAGCTGTTATCTCCCGTTACACATGAGAAAATTGAGGAATAAAATGATCATAGAATCGCAAAACTAAATCTGAAAGGACCCTCAGGCCTTTGAAGCCCTGGGAAGTTAAGTGACTTTGCCAAAGTTATACAGGTAGTAAGCTTCAAAAGCAGGATTTATAACCCAGTCCTCTTCAAAGACAGTGGTCTTTCCACTTAACCGTGCTAGTCAAGTAACATTACCACATATCACAGTAGGAGAAAAGGGGAGCTAAGAATAATAACTAGTGCTGACTCATAAATCTTTACTGGGTCCTCTAGATTTCCTTTGTTAAAAAGACTAATCTGCCAAATTAATATCCCAGCTACATATGAAAATTGAGAATCTTTTTACCAAGAGACTGGGATTTTTGAGGCTGCCTTAGATAACCAAGCACAGAAACTGAATCTATACACAGTAGTAAAGATGCTTAGTTGCCAGGCGCCCACCAATACACCTTATCTTCTTGATTCTTCTTGTAGAGAGTTCTGGGATTCCAGAGAGGCCCTGTGTACTTACCGGAACCCCAGAAAGTATTGAGTAAGTTAATTTTGTTTACTTTTTCCTTTTACTTTTCTTCCCCCTTCCCTAAAGAGGGGAGAAATGGAAGGGCAGAACTGTTACTAAACACTGTTAATTGGTGCTGTGTTACTAAACCACAACCAGCAAGTGCTGATGTATATAAAATTTGGGGTTGCCATACTATGGGCATTTCTCTGCTACCACATACTTAGAGTGTCATGAAGCCTGTGTTGAATTTCTCATAGCTATCATGATACCTCCTTTATGAACTAGGTTTTCAGGGTATGCACAGTTTTCCATGCTAAAGAACTCACTCTATTGGGTTGCTCAAATTGAGTCTTATCTTACTGGTGTTAGTATGATACTTCTTCCTGAAAGGGTTATTTTGAAATTATCTAGGTGACACTGCATAGCATCATATTATCCATTCTAAGTTCGATCCTGTTGCCTCTTTTTGATCCAAATGAATTTGGATCTCTGATTTCCTGTTTCATTCAGAGGACCATCTGGGTAGTCTAGAATTGGGGAGGGGTGGTAGGAGTAAGGACCTGTAGTAGCTTTAAGAAAAGAACTGTTTTCCATTCCTGTTACAAGTAATTGAGCTTTACAGACACCAGTTTTCAATCTCATGGAACTGAAGATCGTTGTGGAAAAAGTGCTAATTTGGAGGAATCTCTCTCCCTCCCTTTTCTCTTTTTTCCTCTATCCTTTTTCTCTGACTCTCTTATCTGTGTTTCCCATATCAATCTTCTGTCTCGGTTTCTCTGTGTTCTCTCTTTCTTTCTCTGTCTCTTTTTCATCTCAGTCTTCTTTCTATTTCTCTCCTCTCTGTCTCTCTCCTCCTGTGAGTGCTCATCTGTATCTCACAGTCTCTCAGTCTACAGTTATATGTGGTTTGTGGACAAAGGCGGGTTCCAGATTATGTCTCTCAGTAGGCAGAGTTGTTTCATTATTTCCACTGCTCACAGATTTATAGAAAAGTTTAAATTTATTTTACAATGTTACAAGCAGTGACCCAGAACAAGTGTCACTGGTGAGTATACATTATAGGGCAAACAATATGGTTTTCCTGGCAGCAAAGCATTTTTCTTACGGCAATGGTTAGTCCAGAACTAAAGCAAAATATTAAGAAGAAGCTGTACTTGAGGAACACGTGAGGAGGAAGCCAAAAGCAGGTTCTCAGCCCTAAAAGTTTAGATCAGACAACTGATCAATACCAGCAGCTGAAGAAAACCTGAATTTTGGAGGTTTTTTCCCCCATATCCTTATTGCTCTATTAACTGGACTCTTCTCCAGATTCTTACTGCAAAGTGTTGAGTAACACATATTTATAGCATGTAGGAAGATAGTTGAATTTTCTTAGCTAGACTGTTAAGTAACTTAGGTGACTAAAAAAAAAGAGATGTGGGGGGAGATACAGACAGACACTGCTGCTTCTCGCTACAAAAAACCAAGCTGATGGTTCCTAACTTCAGCAAAGAAGTCAAAGTAGTTAAATGAATTGAAGAAGAGTTTGAAATTTAGGAATGAATCATACTAGTAACCTTTACTCTTTTTTCTTCCTATCTCTCTGTTTTTACATTTCCTGCTCTGGCCTCCTTCTCTTACCTCTATCCTAGTTCTTTTTTTCCTCTCTGATATACAAACTGTTTTGTTTAATGGTAGTTCTCTTTTGGTCTTCCCTCAAAGACAAGCCAAGCGACTATTGGGACAAATTGTTGATCGATGTCGGAATGGACCTGGATTTCATAATGATGTAGATGGGAATAACACAATCCAGGAGATTCTCATCCCTGCATCTAAAGTGGGGCTAGTCATTGGCAAAGGAGGAGAAACCATAAAGCAGTTACAGGTATGCGACCTTAGTAGATTCAGAAACTTATTCCCTTCTCAGGAAATGTGTCTTTAAAGCCATTCTCTGCCTTTTTACTCTCATAGGTTTTTTTCTTTTTATATCATTATTTTTCCTCAGTATTTTTCCTCTGCCCCCTCCCAGGGAGCCATCCCATATAACAAACAGTATATTTTAAAAGACAAAAAAAAAAGAAAAAGAAGAGGAAAAATCAGTGCAACCAGTCAGTATATTGAAAAAGTCCAAAAGTGTGTACATTGTGTACCACCTGTGGACTTCCCACCTCTGCAAAGGGTTGGGTTGGAACTCTTCTTTTTGAGGCATGCATGTTCTTTATAATTTTGCAACATTCAGTTTTGATTTTTCTGTATGTGTTTGTTCTTTCCATTTATATTGTTGTAATCCTTGTGTATATTGTTTTCTTGACTCTGTTTACTTCATTGTGTATCATTTCATGTCATGCTTTCCATGCTTTTCTGTACTTACCATGATCATCATTTCTTACAGCTCAGTAATATTCCAGTACAATCAACATACTTCATTGTGTTTAGCCATTCCTCAAATGATGGGCACCTGCTTTGTTTCCAATTCTTTGTATCACAAAAACTACTGCTATAAATATTTTGGTGTATATAAGGACTTTCTTATCAGTAGTCTCCTTGGGTTGTAATATATAAGCTTGATAATGGAATCTCTGGGTCAAAGCAGTATGGACATTTTAGTCACTTTATTTGCACAATTCCAAATTGCTTTCCAAAATAGTTGTACTAATTCACAACTCCACCAACAATGAATCAATGTACCTATCTTCCCATAATCCCTCCAACATTGACTTTTGCCATCTTTTGTCATCTTTGCCAGTTTTCAGGGTGTGAGATGAAACCTCAGAGTTGCTTTGATTTATATTTCTCTTATTAGAGATCTGAAGCATTCTTTCATTTGCACAAGAGTTTGCAATTTTTCTTTTGAGTAATGTTTATTCATATACTTTGAACATTTATCCGTTGGTCTTGTATGTATTTATTAATTATTTATGTATCTTGGATACCAAAACCTTATCAGAGAATTTTGATACAAAGATTTTTTTTTTTCACTATTCAGCCACTTTTCTTATTCTAGTTGCATTAATTTTGTCTGTATGGAAGCTTTTAACTTACATATAATCAAAGTTACTTACTTTTGCAACTGCTTGTATCTCTTGTTTGGTTAAGACTACATCTCCTACCCATAGCTATGAGGAGTATATGATCTGTTTCTCTTTTAATTTTTTTGTAATATGTTCTTTAATATTAAAGTGATGTATATTTTCAAATATATTGTAAAATATTGTTTAATATGTTGGCCTAAGCCTAATTTCTGCCATACTGCTTTCCATTTTTCCCGGCAGTTTTATTTATAAAATAGAGAGTTCTTTCCTAAGTATTTTATGTTTAGGGGTTCCTTGAACACTTGGTGATTGAGTTCTGTTAGTTTTGATTCTCCCTTATCTAGTTTGTTCCACTGATCTACCTCTCTCTCTTTTTTTTTTTTTAAACCAACACCAGGTGGTTTTGATGACTGCTGTTTTATAATATAGTTTGAGTTCTGGGAGTGCTATTCCCCCTTCATCCCTATCTGGTAGGCTTTTTCAAGAATATCTGAATCACAGTGGCTGGAATTTCACTGGACTCCTAATAGATGTTTCTGCATATCTTGTGTTATATTTCATAACACAAAAACTATACCTTGTGTCTTCTACCAGAGAAAAATTGGAGTTCGTGTGTACTGGCAATGTTTCATATGCATTTTCTTATACAGCCATTTAGAGAATAAAACTTTATTAATATTGTTTTAGTAATTTGATGTTCACCAGGTACCACAAATTAATTGTGTTCATATATACAGTCTAAATGCCCTGGGGAAAGGAAAGGAAAGAAATCAAGTTTTTGGATATAGTTTGGTTTATCCCACTGTCTTAGATGTTAATACTTGAGAGCTGTCTAGAAATAGCAACATTTCTGTATTCACACTGAATCAGAATTGATTACCAAAAGTCTAAATGTTACTTAAGTGGTAAAGTCAATGCTAATTTCACATGTTAATTATTCAGGAGAGGCATAACTGTATAATGAAAAGAGTACTTGATTTAGAATCAGAAGACCCAGGTTCAGTCTTCAGTTCTAACATTTTCTGTGGGCGAGTCACTTAATCTCTCAGGGCCCTCAGTTTTCTCATCTGTAAAATGGAAATTAAAATATTGGCATGAGCTACCACTTAGAAATATAGTAAGGAAAGTATTTTGTGAGCCTTACAGTACTATATAAATCTGTGCCACTATTATTATTGATCTTAAAGTGATTTTGTGTGCCCTATTAAAAATTATGTTTCCATGCTGTGTGTTCTTCATAGGAGCGAACAGGTGTGAAAATGATAATGATCCAAGATGGTCCTTTGCCCACTGGAGCAGACAAACCCCTTCGTATTACTGGAGACCCATTCAAAGTACAGGTAAACTTACCAGGAAAACTTTTTATGGAGTTATTATGTAGTGGCGATGGTATATCTGTATGGCTGTATGACTAAATTACTATTACTCTTGTATTTTATTATTTCTGTTCACTCTGTTTTATAAATGTTATATTAAACAAATATGAGATGGAATTGCTGCTTTTATGACACTAAGCTGCCTCTGAAAATAGGTATTCATTTTATCCAGTTAATCTGTTCTGTCATATTGGGTTTGAGAGTTTAGTTGTGGGAAAAAGCTTAACAGAGTTCTGGGCATCATAAGACATAGATAACCCTGCTTACCCTGTGGCAGCAAGGGACAGACTTTCATTAGTTTCTCCAGTATTTGAAATGGATTTGTTCTGTATTCCCACATCTAATCCACCTTGTAACCAGTGGCAGACATTTAAGACACTTTGACTAGGGCTATAGTTGTGAATTCTTTGGCCATAAAACAGAACAAAGCCAAATAGTCTGTGTAGGTATTAAGGATATGGCCTTGGCCTCAGCAGCATAATACTTTACCATTGAACAACCAACCATAGATATAAGGTGACATAAAATCAGATAGTGGCAAAGCCAGGTGTTTAGTTATAGAATAGAAAAATGAGGCTGATCTGAAGTTCGAGGGAGAGTCTTAATTTGGTTTCTGAAGTGTTTCTCCCTTTTTTGAGTGTTTTGGCATTGGAATGAAGAAAGTTGATCTTCACAAAGAACAGAGCAGCTTTTGGAGGTAGCATTTAATTGGAGGAACTGGAGCTCTCACTCCTAAGAGGTTAACTTCTGCCCACCTGAGGCTTCGGGAAGCAGCAAAGTTGTTTTATTTAAAACAGAGGTTCTAACTTTATTAATCTTGGTACAACAAGAGATCACTGCACAGCTCTTTTTCTTTGGGAGTGTTGTATTACAACCTAGTGGAAACTGCCAGTTTTTTAAGAAGTTTGTTCACTTTGTGATACTACTACACAGTTAAGCACAGATTTATAAAACTTATAGTTTTTCAAGACCAATAACTACAATAACATTGTAGGACAAGATTGAGTAGTTCTGAGTACACTGCTTTTCTTCCTTAGGCTCTAGTTAGGGTAAAGAGCCTGTCATTTCACTTGTCAGATCCATAAACTGTCTTTTAAAAAAAAAAAAAAGGAATATCTCATTATTGAGGAGTTTACTTTTTCATTTTGGATTGCATAAAGACATTATTTTGCTTCTTTAGTAAACTAATACGTATTCTACTGAGGTTTTATTATGCATCTGTGCCATTGAAATTATGGGGTGGTGAAAGACCAAACTTGATGGTATTTTGCGGCTTTTTTTAATGTAAACAGTTCCTTTCTTAAGAATTCATGTCATCAAGGGCAGCTAGGTAGCCCAGTGCATAGAGTGCCAGGCTTGGAGTCAGGGAAGGCCTGAGTTCATATATAGCCTCAGACACTTCCTAGTTGTGTGACCCCGGACAAGTCACTTAACCCTGTTTGCCTCTGTTTCCTCATCTGTAAAACGAGCTGAAGAAGGAAATGGCAAACCACTCCAGTATCTTTACCAAGAAAACCTCTAGTGGGGTCATAAGGTTTCAGATATGACTGAAACAACTAAACAACAAGCAACAATTCCCCTTGTTCAACAGTACTCTGGGGCCTCGTAGACACCCCCATGCTCTTCCCTGGCCTTGGGCCCTACGCCAGTCCTCTAAGAAATAGGGAGAATTCATGTCATCAACTCTTCCTCTCCATATGTGATCCTTTTGTTGTAATTATTGTCTGAAAAATAGCCCAAGATCAATAGATGAGAGGTGTTGCAATAATTTGCAACAAAAAAGAAAAAGCCATGCAACTGCCTTAAACTTTTTTTTAATGGAATCAAAGTTTTTGGTTTGGGCACTCGGCTATCTCAGGGAGTGATGGTTGTCATATAGTGTGACCCTTTTAAAACACAGGTGCTGAGAAATAAACAAATTTTAAGGTAAATTGTACCTTTACTTTATTTCATCTGTGTGTAGGGAGAACAAAATGTAGCCTTTGATACAGCTAAATCTATGTAATAATCAGAATTCTACTCTATTTTTATTTTTTTTGTTTTTGTTTTTGTTTTTTTGGCTAGGCAGTGGGGTTAAGTGACTTGCCCAGGGTCACACAGCTAGTAAGTGTTATGTATCTCAGGCCAGATTTGAACTCAGGTCCTCCTGAATCCAGGGCTGGTACTCTATCCACTGCACCACCTAGCTGCCCCTCTACTCTATTTTTAAATAGGATTTGTAGTAGCTGCAATCAGTTATCTTTGACTTTCCAAATAGTAGTTGAACTGTAGCAGATGGCTTTTTTTTTAAACTTATAAGTATTTATCCTTGTTACCAGAATTTTTCTTTCAAATTCCTAGTTTTGTTTCTGCCATATTCAATGTCATTGCTGTGTTATACATAGCCCCACAATGATGTTTTCCATTCCATAGGAGTCTTCCTGAAATAAGATGTTTCAGAAAACCATTCAGAAACCAGGAGTAGCATGTCAGAAACATTTTCTTGGGAAGATTAGTAATCAAAAGTTAGGCCAAGTAGACTTTTTTAATCCAACTAGGGTTGAAACATAGCTTTGGACAATAGAAGGAATGGTGCAATTATTTTCAGGTCTGGTGAGTATCTGCTTCTTTCTCCCCCCTTCCCGAAACTGTACCAAATCACCTCTCTTCACTCCCACGTTCCTTTCAAGCCATTTTATCAGTAATTGGAAAAGACTGTCAGATGTTGAACAAATATTCATGCCATGTGCCCCGCTTTCTTAATGCATTTGTTATTTGTGTTTATGCAGCAAGCAAGGGAAATGGTACTAGAGATTATCCGAGAAAAGGATCAAGCTGACTTCCGAGGCGTGCGCAGTGATTTCAGCTCCCGAATGGGAGGGGGCAGTATAGAGGTACACTTGAATTAGAAATTGTAATTGTTTGCTATCATGGGAAAAGGAATGAAGAAGGTCTCCTAGTGGGCATAGTAACAGTCAAATCCTTCCCAGTGGTTATTCATCATTTTCAGTGAATGGTGCTATTCACACCTCTTGTTTATAAATGTAGGTAGGTGGTATGTTTCTGTGCATAAACACCTTTCCCTGATTTCTGAGATGTAACAGGAAAACTCGAGAGGCTCAACGCTTTTTTTGAGTACTGCAGCTTAAGTGTTCAAGTTCCAAAGAACCTGTTTTTATATGTGGAAACTTTGAAGACTATTTCATTAATGTGATAGAGTGGAATAGTTTTTATGCTATAAAATAATGATGTAAAAATCAAATCATCCCCAAGTATATTTCATGGCTTCTGCATCTGCAGTTCATGCTTATGTTTTTCTCCTAGCTTTATTGAGATTTTGTTTCTGTTCTTTCTCCTCTAAGGTATCTGTGCCTAGGTTTGCCGTTGGTATAGTAATAGGAAGAAATGGGGAAATGATCAAAAAAATTCAGAATGATGCTGGTGTAAGGATTCAGTTTAAACCAGGTTGGTTATAATGTCATTCAGAAATCTTATTATTTACCTCTAGTTGCCAGATATCTGGCAAAAAGAATGTGTCCTCCTTTCCACATATGCATCCTTTGACTGACTGAGATGTTTTATTTTGCCTTTTTTGTGTTGTGCAGTTTCACAGTTAAACTATTCTATTTTATTTATATTCTTTTTTTTCTTTTTTGTATTCAGTTTTTTAATTCTATAACCAGTTTAAAGTTGTCATTATGTAAAATATTGATTAGGGTTTTTTTTTTTCTTTACAAGGACTTGTTTATACTTGAATACACCAAAAAAAGTGTTACAGAAATGCCCAAGGCTTTGCCTGTCTATAAATCAGTCACTCAAATATTTTTTAAAAACCTACTGTGTGCTAGACAGTCTTCTAGCCACTGGAAATACAAGTACAAAGAATGGAAGCAATCCTTACTTACAGTGAGCTTATATTTTATTGGAAGGAAATAACTATATATAAAAATATATACAGTGGTCACTGACTTCCATTTTTGGTAATTTTAGTATAATTACATATCAGTTCAACTTTTGCCTCCCTTGAGGTTGGGACATTTTAATTTAGTCTCTCACTTCTTGTTCCACAGATGATGGGATTAGTCCTGAAAGAGTTGCACAGGTCATGGGACTTCCAGAAAGGTGTCAACATGCAGCACATGTCATCAGTGAGCTTATTATTACAGCACAGGTGGGTTCTGTTCTCTGGGATCAACCATTTTAGCCACTCAAGTGGAAAATGGTCAACATTTCTATCAGTGAACTATACAACATTTTAGAGGTTCCACTTAAAAGTTTGCATTTTATGAAATGAATTTATTTGTAATTCAGGTCTTCACTTCTACCTTTCCTGCAACCCACTTATTCCCTCTTTCATGCAAAAAAAAAAAATTTTTTTTTTCTTTTATATAGTCAACTCTTGGTTATCTCCAGTGGGTTGGGAAAAACTGTACCATGTATAGAATATCAATTTCTAAATAATTGAAATCTAATACACTTAATACTAAAACAGTACTAAATACCAAAACAACATAATTTTTGATTCAGAAAGCTCTTCAGGACCTTTCCAACTCTCAAGAATTATCATTTTGAATATAGTTGAGGCAGGGAAAAATTACTCTTTTGTAAATCTCAAAGTACTCCACAAATGTGAATTGTTATTGATACAGTTTAACAAATAATATTTATTAAGGCATTATGATAGTTGCTGAGAATACAGAGACAAAAACAAAGGAACTTACCTTGTCCTGAGATGAGTTAAATACAAGATAATTTGAAGAGGGAGATAGCATTAAAACTGGGGAAGATGAGATCAGGCTTCACAGAGGAAATGGTGCTGGAGCTGAGCATTAAAAGGGAATGTAAAGATTCTAAGAGCATTCTAGACATGAGGGATAGCTTGTGTGAAAGGTGTCCATTAGACTTAATCTATGGACTCTGTAATATCAAATAATCAGTAATTTTCTTTAGAGGGGAGGTAGTATGATATAATAAGGAGTCACTTCACTTCCTTATGGTTCAGTTTCCTTAGTTATAAAATGAGAGGGTTGGACTTAATGTCTTCAGAATACCTTCTAGTTGTTCATCTATGATCATAATAATGAAAGCATTAGACTCAAAGTCAGCAGGGTTGGGTTATTGTCCTGGCTATGCCACTGATTTGCCTTGTGGCCTTAGGCAAATCACTTCCTCTCTCTGGGCCTCAGTTTCTGGTTTTTTTTTTAAATAAAGGCATTGGACAAGATGACCAGAAGGTTTCTTCTGCTCTTGTAGACTGTTCCATTTAGCATTGCTCAAGACATTATAAAGGAAAATAGAGAAGTATGAAACGTGGACGTTCAGTCATGGAATTCCTCTTCAGGAGTCGTCTTCAGGGGGCTTCATGTTGCCCCTGAGATAAAATATAAACTCTGTATATAGTTTAGAGCTTTTAAAGCTCTATTCAACCTGGGCTTTACTGAAACCAACATTATTGGGCCTTGCTCAGTCTGCCAAACTCTTTGATCCAGTCAAACTGGCCTTCTCTCTGGTTCCTCTCTTAGCTCCCCACCTTTACACTTGCCCTTCCCCATGCATACTCCCCCAAGAAATACACCTCAGCCTCATAGAGTCCTTTCTTCCTTTAATACAACTCAGGCACCACCTTCTACGTGAAACCTTTCTTTATCCCCCCCCCCCCCCCAACTCCTAGTATTCTCCTTCCCAAACTACCTTGTATTTAACTACTTTATATATGTATTCGTACGACTTGGAATTGTTTCATTCTTTGTATTTGTACCCCTGCAGCCTGGCACATAGTAGGAACTTAACAAACATTTGTCAGTAATTGAAGTATTTATTAAAAGCACACTGGGGCTACAAGTAAAATGAATGAAACAATCCCTATTTGCAAAGAGCTTCCATTTTAATGGGAGAGACAACAAAGACATATAAATATGTACAGAGTAATAACAAAGAAAATGAATAAAAATAAATACAGAGAGGTTTGAGAGAGAGAGCACTAATAGTTGACAGGATAAGGAAAGACTTCATGTAGAATCTGGTGTTCAAACTTCATCTTGACAAAAGAGAGGGCTTTTTTGAGTTAGAGGTGAGGAGAGAGTTTATTCCAGGTGTTAGGGAGTGGCTAGTATACAGGAATGGAGATGGAGCTCCATGTATGAGGAAGAGGCCAATTTAGCTGGGTCACAGTGTGGGATAGGGAATAATGTGTAATGAGGGTGAGAATATATGTTAGGGCCAGTCTGTAAAGGGCTGTAAAAGCTAGGCTATAATATAGCTAGGCTATAAGAAATGTCTAATAGGCAATTGGTAATACAGGTTTGAAGCTCAGATCTAAAGACTGAGCCTGAATATGGAGAGCTGGGAATCATGATCATGGAGATGATCATTAAACTCATAGGAACCAAGAGAGAAAAACTGAAGGCCTAGGGGTAGAGTCTTGGGGTTTTTAGATGATATGATATACCAGTAAAGAAAACTGAAGACTGAACAGTTAGGTAGGAAGGGACCCAGGAGAAGGGATAATGTTATAATATCCCAGAGAGGAGAGAGTACAGAAATGAAAAATGAAGTCAACATCATCAAATGTAGCAGATAGGCTGAGAATAAAGATTGAAAAAAGGCCTTCAGATTTGCCAATTAAGACACAGTGTAGTAACTTTGGAAAGGGAGTTAGGAAGCCAGATTGCAAAAAATTGAGAAGTGAGTGAGTGAAAGGAAAGACAGTAATCAACACAGCTTTTTCAAGGAACTTGACTGAGAAAGGGAAAGGAGAGATGTGGGATCATACCTTGAGGGTCTAATGAAGATTTTATGGACTGGTATATTGACTTAAGTGTGTTTGAAGGCAAAAGGATAAGGATCCATAAATAGAAATTGAAAATTGGGGAGTCGGAAGAGGAAGTAAGTTAAATTTGTAATCTGCTAAAGAAGACAAAATGAAACAGAATTGATCCCATGTAAAGGTCCTGGCCTTGGGAAGGACAAGGGCCACCTCATTATCAGAGACTTGGGGCAAAAGAGGAAGAGAGTAAGAAAATGATGTCAAGGAGTTTTGAGATGAAGAGAAGACATCTTACATTTTGAATGGCCCCAGTTTTCTCAGTAAAAGGGTGAGGTCCTCAACTGAGGGGGGTGGGGAAGGGGATGTTAGAAGCTTGAGAAGAAAAAAGATTTGGGAAATCTTTTGTGGAGAGTGAGTCTTGTTGTTCAGTCGTGTCAGACTCTTTGTGACCCCATTTAGGGTTTTCTTGGCAAAGATACTAGAGTGGTTTGCCATTTCCTTTGTCAGCTCATTTTACAGATGAGAAAACTGAGGCAAATAGTATTAAATGACTTGCCCAGGGTCACACAGCTAGTAAGTGTCTGAAGTCAGATTTGAACTCAGGAAGATGAATCTTCCTGACTTCAGGCCTGGTATTCTATCCACTGTGCTATCTAGCTGATTAGGGAGTCAGGAAAGAATAAAAAAAGATTGCCTTCAAGAAGCTTCTCTTTTTTGTTAGTGTCTCTAGAAGTGGCTTTTTAAAAATTAGTCCCTAATGTCAACTTGCCTTGTCCATTTGTGTAGAGTATGAAAACAATCAACTTACCTGATTTGGAGGGTTTCTAGATAAATGTGCAGCTTACTCTCACAAATAAAAGAAAACTTTGTCAACAGTGGACATTTTTTTTTTGCCATTCTGAGTTGATGTGGTAAAGCAGCACCATCTCATGAAAGAGAGGAAAGAACTGCAGCCTGATCGCATTTGCTTTTAATGTCACCATTTTGAAATGCTGCAGGACCAAAGTGTTTGACATAGTAGACAGTGATTGGAGTGGGATTTGTGCACTCTGAATGTTAAAAGAAATCTTCTTCTGTAGATGCCTGTCTTTGCACACTGTTCTGTGATCACTGAACAGTGTGAAACTGTGTTTCAGAGAAGTCTTCTCTCCAGCATCAGACTGTGGGTAAAGGGGACAGCTCTTGTCCCTTTCAGAACTTGCCTTCAGTGGTCACCGTTTAACACATCTTTGTGCTGGCCCTTGGGAGTGGCATTGCAGATAAAAAGAAAAAAATAATCCTTTGATTCTTCCTGCTTGTTAGATTGCAAGGTCTTCTGAATCATAGAGCATTGTCTGTATGCCAACCTAGTTGGGGGAGGGTTAGAAACCATAAACTGTCACTCAGGCTTCACTTTCAAATGCCGATAGCTCTTTAGTGTCTAACGTCTGACTTCTGATAATCACAGCATGTGTTAGCCACAGGAAAGAAACCTCAAGGCTGGATAAAACCAGGCTCTCAGTTCTGACAGATCAGGTCCAGCAATTAAAACACAGGAACAAGGTAGTTGAGCTTTTAACTTTTGAGTTTATCCAAACACTTTTTTAATTTCAATATATTTATAGTGTTTATTTATATTTACATGCATTTATCTGCTCAGTTCCTCCTCTGATGGTGATTTGAATTAATTCCATTTTTATGGAAACCTTAACAGTCAGAAACATGGGAAAGTGCCTTGCTTCTCCATACCTAGAGGTACAGCATTGATTATTTAGCCTGTCATTTAACCTCACTTTTAGTAGAAGAAACTAAAAATTAGTGGTGGTGGTAGTTGTGAGTGGTGAGAGTAGTCACTAAAACTTTGCTTTCCTCCCAGGAACGTGATGGTGTAGGAGGTATCTCTGTACCCAGAGGAAGAGGTCGTGGCCGAAGTGATTGGAGTGTCGGGACACCTGGGGGGCTGCAGGAGGTCACCTACACAGTCCCAGCAGACAAATGTGGCCTTGTTATAGGCAAAGGTAAGAAAACCCTACTGGATTTTCATTTCCTTTTTCACACCACCTCACACCAATACCTCTAGAGTCTGAATTTGTTTAATTAATTCCATTTCCCTGCCTAAAGTTATCTCCTCCAGCTTCGTCATTTTACTGATCAATCAACAAGCATTTATTAAGCACCCTACCATATTCTAGGCCCTGGGATACAAAGACAAAAGAAATGGGCCTTGCCCTCAAGGAGCTCACGTTTTTTTGTGAGGGGGCTGAGGCTCAGAGTGCCTTGCCAAAGGTTATGAGTTGGCAGCCAGGCCCAGCATCAAGTCTTGTGACTCCATATTTTTCATTCATTCTCCTACATCTAGGTGTATTGAGCTAGTTTGAATTGTTAAGAAAATGGTGTTGAACTTAACTTTCAAATAATTTGAATCATTAGGTAGGATATTTTTCTTAGATGAAAACCTCTCAGGAGTGATGTCACAGCTTCTTAGAGAGCATGAGACCAAGAAGTCCTGGATTCAGGTTCTGCCTCTGACACTGATTACCTGTGTAACCATGGAAGGCAAGTCAGCCTTTCAGATCCTCAGTTTCCCTACCTATAAAATGGCAGTGGTAATACTTAGAGTATCTGCTGTGTAAAATCGTTGTGAAGATCAAAGGAGATCACATTCATAAATTGCTTTGCAAACTTTTAAGTGCTGTAGCAACCTCAGTGGTTGTTCTTGGACCATAGACTGTTAGAGGAAGGAATCTAGGCACTTCATTTCATAGGTGAGGAAATCGAGGCCCAGAAAAGGAGTCTAGCAAATGACCAAGCACTGATTAGAACCCAGGATTCCTGACTTATGCTTTTTGTCTTAGACCACACTGCTTGTCCTAACTGCATATGGTATTTTGGCTTTGATGACACGGCATGTGAAACTAGCTTTTATTTTTTTTTTTTCAGCACTTCTTAAAATGAGCAACAGATACCCTGTAAAGAAAAATTAAAGTGGATGGGTTGTAGCCAATTTTGTAGAGAACATTAGCTAAAATTCACATGAATAATTGGCAGTCTCCTTATCCTCATCCTTTAGTATGTGTTGTGGGAAATATGTAGCACACAGTTCTTGGTTATCTCATACTTTTTAACTTCTATATAGACATCGAGGAGACAAGTTGAATGGAGCAATAAGGATCTAAATACAAGTCTAGAGAATATTGTTCCT